TCAATAACCAAAACTCTTTTAAAGTCTTTACTGTATTCAGTTTCCATATTGGTAGATTGTATGAATATTTTATGCTATATGTTTACCGTATCTGCGGATGACCATTCCCTGTTCCTTTGTCCTCAAAAAAAGGAGAAATGGACTACCATTGATTGGAGGAAGAAACCCTTTGTCACCACATGGTGGCAGCACTGGGACATTGTGGCATGCTGCTTTTGCATGGTGAATGTTTGCAACATGTATTTGTGATGCCTGTGTACACGTGCCCAGGGCTTTTGTGCTGTGCTTTTACCTGTCTGTTGTTTGTGGCGTGCTGATGATCGGGTCAGCCTGGGGGGACCTCTGTGTGTGGCGTAACATGCACTTCCTCCCTGTAGAATCAAACACCGGACGCTGTGGATTCCGTGGCTCATCATACATGGGAGTCCCCTACAACCCATCCAAGGTAGCTGCTTTGGGGGCCGTCTCCCAACTCCCAGGCCTGGTGTGGATGTTTCTAAAGCAGTGTTTCCCAATCCAGTCCTAGGCGATCCGCAGATGGTCCATGTTTTTACTCCTGCTGGGAGGGAGCAAAAACACGGACCACCTGTGGAGCCCAGAGGACCGGATTGGGAAACACTGTTCTAGCTTATTAGAACCGTGTAACACAGAGCTCACCATTTATAACTGATTGGACAAGCAGGTAAAGAAAATAGATGGATTATTGATTTAAATGTTTATTATTTCATTTTGATGGTTTATTTCTTTACACACATGTCTCCTGTCATCACAATGTTGGAGCCAAGCAAACCAGCATTTCACTGCACATCGAAAACAAAAAAGTTTGTGTGAAATAATTTTGATTGATAGGATAGTTTTGGGGGGGCAGCAGAGTGGTTAGGTTAATGTGGATCCACCTTTACATGACAGTCGAACAGAGGGCAGAGTGGCAGTAGAAATAGCTCAGCATTTGCTGTGTGACCCCCCCACCCCCCTCCATTTCCAGGGTCCAGGCTTGCCCCACCCCTACGACAGCGGCCACGTGGCCATGACGTATACGGGACTCGCCAGTTTGCTCATCCTGGGTGACGACCTGAGCCGGGTGGATAAGGAGGCATGCCTGTCGGGGGTGAAGGCCTTGCAGCTGGAGGATGGCAGGTAACTGCTGCGGCGTGTGGCTCGGTGGGGTGGCAGGCCGTGCCTGTGATCAGAGGGTCACTGGTTCAAATCCCATTGTCGGCAGAGTGATTTTACTTTTGAGCCTCTGAGCAGGGCCCCCAGCCCCCAGTTGCCGCAGGGACTGTCCTATCCTGCCATCTTGGAGAAAAAACATGCATGTCGCTTTGGATAAAGGTTGAGATACACAATATATTATTAACATATCGTTATTAGCTGATGATTAAAAATCAAGATGTCAGCAAGGGCCGATGTGACCAGTCTTGGCCAATATTTAGTCTTTCCTGAATATTCAAATTTAGCAGAGCTAAAGACATAACTACTACTGTAAGGGAGATGATTGCGTTAGATGATCAGCCATTTTCGCTAGAGCATGGTGATGGATCTGTCTGCTCCTTCACCGTCTCAAAAGTAACGACGAGATCCAGCTCGCGAGCAGCTTTTATAAGGCCTGCCCCATGTTTTTAATCCAATAATAAATCTGGCCTGCAGATCGATCTTTCGTTTTTCACAGAGATAAAAAACGTTGTAGCTTCATTCTGCTATTCAGCACCGGCCAGTTTTACCACCAGCACCACTGGCACAAATTAACCCCCCACCCTTGGAAAGTTTCACTGTATTCTATCATATTGACACATATTATGTATATTCATCTACTGTATTATATGTTTATATGATCATATTTCACTCTGTTGTGATTGTGTATCTGATAAGTGTCAACTGTGCCCAGGAGGAACATGCAGAGTGAGATTTTCATTGTGGGTGTAACTGACTTGTTTTTCAGTGCAAATGACAATAAACTTCTTAAAGTTAGCTGGTTATCGGTGCTGGTAATATCAGGAAAATAGCTAAAAGCATCTGCTGGAATGAATTGCTCACCCAATCCCTGCGTGCACAGGCAGTGTGACCAACACTGATTGGGGCTTCCAGCACGGTTGATGCACGGCCTAAGAATGTGACCTGGCTCGTTCCTCTGGGCAGCACCTGCCTTTACCTTTAACTGATGTTTCCGTCTCTTAGGGGCGAAGTGTGATATTAAACCCGATTTCACTGCCTTGATGAAGGCCACACCCCTAGAGAAGGGACTCTCAACATATTGATGACCGCAGACCGGTTTATGTTGTGTAAAAAAATTTATGGGCTGGTAAAACTTGTCACTCGGGGAGGGGGGCGGTGCTGGAGGCGGATCAATTGGCGGGACAGATTTAATAAGTTTAACTGTTTGCATTTCTTTCACATGCAATCAAGAAAATTGGAAAGTAACCAACCCCGCCCAAAACCCCCAGCGTTCCGTGCCCTGGGGGGGATACTCGTTGTGGACCGGGAGTTAGGAACCCCTACCGTAGAGTGCCGAGTCTGCCGTGTCCGTAATCATCGGTGCCTCACCCGGTACCCGTGCCGGAGAACCCGAGGGTAGTTTCTTAGCGACTCTGACGGTGGGCAGATGTGGACCTTGGCTGTCTGTCTCTGTTCCAGCTTCTACGCCGTGTCGGAAGGGAGCGAAAATGACATGAGGTTTGTTTATTGTGCGGCCTGCATCTGCTACATTCTCGACGACTGGTCAGGGATGGACGTGGAGAGGGCTGCCCGGTACATCCGCAGCAGCTTGGTACGTGAGTCTGCCCCCTCGCAATGGACACACACAAACACATGCACAGTCCATGTATTCATCTCTATAGGGTCTCTCCATTCATTTCTATAGGCATGACCCTAATCCCAGCTCTAACCTTAACATAAGTAACCAAACAAAAGACATTTCGCATTTTTAGTTTTTGACTGCAGTCACAGATTTTTATAAAATTGAGGTTTACCACAAGGTAAAAAGTTCCAAGTTTTTGTCACATTGTGGGAAATCTGATCCTTTACAATGTAATTGTTACGGAAACACAGGCACACATGCAGACGTGGCCACACACACATTCATGGAGCGCCCTGCTGCTCAGCCAGCTGTCAGACATCCATGCTGCTTCCTGCTTGCTCCATGTCACATGTAACCAGAGTAATTCCCATAGTGCTGTAGGCTAAACTATCCAAGGCACAGACCTGTGATTGATTTTGTGTTCGAGGAGCTGTCATGCGCAGCAGTAGTTTGATTGGCCATAACAGTGTCACATGATCACTGAAGTCTCCTGACCAGCAGGAAGCTGAAGGGCAGTCTTCTCTGGCTTCAGCGAAGCTGACTAAACAGATTTCTGAGCTGGGTTGGAATGTCCTCTCAGCCTTAATCATGTTGATACTATTACTTCTGTTTTTCTGGTTAATGTGAGGTTATGGTGTTTCAGGGAGTCTCCTCACACGCCTGTTTATTAGGCTAATTGTCGTTTGGCCAGTCCCTGTTAATTACGCGACACGTTTCTGGGCATGCCTAATTCAGGGGAAGAGCACCATTAAAGCACGGAGAGAATATTACAAAATAGTCCTGTAAACTCCCTCCGCTCTGTTGAATGTGTACTATAATGATCACATGACCTCAGGGAGTAAACAGGAAGTAAGGAGGTGGGACGTGGTTCGCCAGCTGTACGGCCTAATCCCGCTGTGGATTACATAATCTACTACCTAGCAACCAAATGTTCCCTTATGTCTGGAGTGGATTACGTTTCCTTCCCCACTTGGCAACCGCCGTAATGTAGGTGGTCAGTGGTTATTCTTAATCTTTTGTGGGCTGAGACGGGAAGCCCCTAATGGACTTAATCCTCTTAGTCTTTTGTAGGATCTTCACCCAGCCTGCGATTGGTCCATAACCCAACCCCTCCCCTTTATGCCTGAGCGAATCAGTCCCCCCCCCCCACCCCACCCCACTCCGGAGTGACTTTAACATCTGTCACCAGTCTCGGTGTCTGTTTCTGATCTGCAGTACGATGGCGTGTTCTGTAATGCTCACGTTCAGCTAAACGGTTCCCTGGCACTGTCCGGATTCCCCGGTCTGCGTCCTTGTGCTCAGCTCAGTCTCCCTGTAAAATGTCAGAGTGTAAATGGAGGCGTGTGTGGCGGGAGCGGGGGGGGGGGGGGGGTTTGAGCACGCTCGGTTTGTCAGCCGGCGCTGGGCGACATGTCGGTGGCGATCTGGTCACCCGCGGGTCGGTGTCTGTGTCCCATCAGGCCCTTATGCCTCGCGTTCTGTCACTCTGTGTCACCCTGAAGCATCGCGGTGAATCTTTGTCACTAAAAATAGGGCTTCCTCCCTATCATGATGCTTTAAAAACTTCAGAATGTGATGAGGTGGCATTAAGAAAATATGACCTCTCTCTCCCTCTGTCTCCTTCCCTCCGTCTCCCCCACCGCTGTCCTTGGTTCAGTCTTACGACAACGGGATTGGGCAGGGAGCCAGCCTGGAGTCCCACGGTGAGTATGGCAGGCGGCCTCATGCACTTTCTTGGATGCCCGTGTCTGGGCCAGGTACCCATCCTGCCTACTGCCAAGTGCCACGCTTGGGAGGTAGAGAGTGAGTTCACATGGAGCGGCATGAAGTGAGGTATTGTACCCGAGACTGGGTTAAAACCATGATGCCCCCCCTCAGCCTAAGCAAGTGCAGAAGTAACCTAGAAAGTGATGCTGACGGCCAGGTGATCACGTCTTACGCTCTACGTGTGCGGCTAAGCATTGATGTGGAGGGCCCCCCCCCCCCACCATGGAGTTTACGGTGTTCTCTCGTCAGGGTCCTCTCAGATTTGGATGACACCCACACATACATGCCTGTGGATTCCATAGCTCACAGAGACCGAGGGTGAAAGTTTTGCAGTTTCCGCTTTCAGACAATTAGCACAAAGCGTTGTCTGTTTTGCAAACTCTTCCCCCGAGTGACTGACATCTGTGCAGCCTGGGTGTTCAGTGAGCAAACCTTAATGACAGAGCAGACGCTTCCTCACCTATAACGCCCAATTCCGGGCCTTTCCACTACCATCCGGAGAGCAAGACTGCGAGGATGCCACTGCCGCAGGGCTGGGGGGGGGATACTTGGGGGAGTGGATTAATGGGTCCTTGGCACGATATTGAAGCTGCGGCTCAGTATCATGAATTATAACCTTGCCTGCAGTGCGAATAGAAAGTCGGGGGGGTTAATTATACGTCAGACGGAAAGTGAGAGTTCAGGTCCCCGTCTGTGACTTCCTGTCTGTTCCTGATGGTAGGACCCCTCCACCAGGCACATGTGGTGACAGATTTACCGACTGCCTTAGTCTTATTAACAATTATGGTCTTGTTTGTCCTGTGGGGGGCGCCGTGATGGTAGACATTCCCCACAGTTGATTAATTGCCAGCACTGGGGGTGCCAAGGGGAGATGCCTTTTAAGCCAAGCGCCTCCACCTCCTTTTCTCAGGAGGCTCCACGTTCTGCGCCATAGCAACGCTGTGCCTGATGGGAAAACTGCAGGAAACGCTCACAGAGCGCGAGCTGAACCGCATCCGCCGCTGGTGCATCATGCGGCAGCAGAGCGGCTTCCACGGCCGGCCCAACAAGCCCGTGGACACGTGCTACTCGTTTTGGGTCGGAGCCGTCCTCCAGGTAACGTCGCATGGTCCTGAGTTGACGTCCCAACACTGTGAGGTCCAGGGGTGGACATTTCTGGGAGCTCTGGTTCTGGGAGTCTCACGACGCATGCAAAAACTCGCCATTCAGATCCGTTAGGGCAGTGTTTCTCAAACTAATCCTAGGGGACCCCCAGACAGTCCATATTTTTGCTACCTCTCGGCTCCCTACTTTGGCAGGGAGCTGGGAGGGAGCAAAAACGTGGACCGTCTTGGGGTCCCCGAGGACCGGGTTGGGAATCACTGCGTTAGGGTTCCTGCAGAGTGGCTGGGTTCACCACTGGGAATTCAAAAGGGTACAGAGAAGCTGCATATTTCATACAGTTTTATAGCCAAGTCATTTTTTTATTGGCCATGTCCTGGGTCGTCCTTGATGTATGCAGATGTACTTCTGAGTGGCTGCACTTGACTTGATGAACAACATCGCAATGGAATTTTAAGTCCAGTGCAAAGACGGCAAATTAGTGGGAGCACTCTGAAATCTCAGAGGACTAACCCACGGTGTTTCAGTAAATCTTGACACTGCCACAGGTGAATGCCCACCATTTATACACTGTCACCTCCAAGGGTAAGTCTCTGATTTTCTAATTCCATGCCTGTGGTCCCCCAGCTACTAGATGTTTTCCAGTACTCTAATTTTGAGAAGAACCGGAACTACATCCTGTCGACGCAGGACCGCCTGGTCGGTGGGTTTGCCAAGTGGCCTGACAGCCATCCAGGTAACTTCATCGCAGATCTGCTCCATTCTGACCCACCTGCCCCCCGCAATCAGTGGAGACCGCGGTGTAACCGTAACCGTAGCCTTGCCGGGGGTGGATCTTTAATTCATCAGGCCATTATCCAGAATGGATTTAAGGATACTGGAGAGAAACTGGGTCCAGTTACAAGATCCAGCTTTGTTTCCATTCATTGTTGAGGGTGTTTTGGCCTGAGAAAATAGACAGGAGGGGAGCAAGTCTGATGGATTTTAACCCAAGTTGATTCTGGAACATTCCTCTGATGCAAAGGGCAGTAAAGCACACTAATTAAAAATATTCCCAGTGCCCTGGTGAGGGAGACCTTATGCTTCTGAAAGGTTATGACGTCTGTGTGAACGACGTGAAAGGATCGGTGAGAAACGTGCTTGTGAGTGGGGATGTCTAGTCTCACGTCCGTGCAGGTTCTGGTGAGCGGTATATCTGTGATTACATCAGGCATGCAGTGGTGCTGAAGGCTCTCAGACCCAGTCCCTTGGGATCGTGTGGGGCTGCTCTGACCCAGTTCTCTCCCACCCCTTCCCACCCCCATGACCCCACCGCCTGCCGCAGATCCTCTGCATGCCTACTTCGGCATCTGCGGCCTTTCCCTCCTCGGCGAGTCCAGCCTACGACGCATGCACCCAGCCCTCAACGTGAGCGAGAGGGCCTTGCAGCACCTGCAGCAGCTGCACCGGACGTGGAGCGAGTCCTGCACATGACAGCCCGTCTCCCCAGCCCGTCTCCGAGCCACACCGGCCCACCTACAGACACCACCTTAGCAATATTAACCTTAGTGGGTCGCTTAAGTTGGCACTGGTGTTGTGTCGAATGGAGGGGAAGACCATGCATAAATTATCGTGTCCAACTGCATCAATTATTAACATCTGCCAGTGAATCGACACTTGACCCAGTTGAACTGGTATGGTTTAGCTTCACTGGATTTCAGCGGTGCCCCATCCTCCCCACATTATTTTTTTTTTAATGCATACTTTGGGTTGTCTTTTTTTTTTACTTTTTGCCTTTCTGGTGTTTTTTCCTTTGGTTCAGAAGGTGTTTAACAACGGCATGGCTTACTTGATGGTTGACTTAGTGGAATTCACACTTAGGGGTTTGGTGCTGGTTTAAGGTCTTGTCTGCCATGATTTGTGTGAGGTTGCAGCTCTGTTTAGTACCAGAAGACAGTCTCTCATCGGTGAGATAGTGGGGGTATGTTCAGCTGGTCTCCAAGATCCAGCTGTAGGGAAACTCAGGACTGGACACCCCTGTCCTGCGTGCTGGGCTAAAAGACAGACAAATGTTAGCTTTGTGCTTCGTGAAACCGCATAAACTCTGTCCATTTGATTAAATCACTGTTTTGTACACAGAATGATCTTGGGTGTCCTTCCACATGCCTGCATGTGTCAGAAATATCAACAGGTTGGGTTGCAGGGAAAGTGTAATGTTCCAGGTTTGGACAGGCAGAAGACGACGGACAGCTGCGAACAGCTAGAGTTGGCTGTCGGTGGCGCTGGGGTAACATCACACGTGGAGAAGGGGGAGGTGGTCTGCTCCCCGCAAGCCAAACTTCATCCTCGTGCTTATTAAAGACTGCAAGAAAAGGTAGCTTGCAGCTTTGAAGATTTAGAAGGACTTGTTGAGGCAGGATGTTGGGGAACCAGAGTGTTTTTCCATATGAAAGAATCTGTCTCCTGCCTTTGTTCTGGAATCATTTTACCATGGAGGTTAAACTACGACAATCTCAATTTCTTACAATCTCTTAATTTCCTACAAGTGCAGCCAAAATTCAAGGTGATTAGTTTCCACATAACCACCAATAAAAACACTTTTTTTCACAGCAGCTTCCAGCAGTGTGTCGTGTCCATCAGTAATTCAGTCACAATGTTCCTTTACTCGAGCAGAGTGAAATGCCGAGGTCCTAATAGTGTAAGGTCCCTTTTTGAGAGCAGTCTGGAATATTAGCCAGAGTGCAACTTGTCTAGTAACAATATGACCAGAGATTACTTTCATATATGAGAAATGCTGAGTGTTGGCTGTCAAACTGGGCCTCAGTTCTGTGCAGTATCACAGAAACGGCAGTTTAATTTGCTGTCAGGGTCAATGGCTCTTCACAGGCTCTTCACAAAGACTCTCAGATTTCATTCATTCATTCATTAATGCCTGGTCACATATGGTGAGTAGGGGGACTAGTAAATCCATTCTCCATCAGTCCTGGGCATGTATTTGGTCTTCAAGGTGTTTCTCCTGTTTATTACATTTATAGTACTTTACTATTTATTAAAAATGCAGTCATTGTTTACTGCAGAATTTTGTGTGAAATTTTACCATCAAGTGGTATGAGCTCACGTATGCCTATACGATAAAGATATGAAAGTAAAAACGAAATGTCTCCAGTCCCAATCATTAACGATGAAGGTGCAGCTGTCGAGCTGAGGAAACGTGCTCATACGGTCCACACGGCGCGTTTCTGACCCGAACCGGACCGATACACGCCCCCCACGGTCATTTGCGTTCCTTTCTTTTTGTTGACCATACGGTGCTCAGGGCAGGTATTACCTGCGAAGCCGTAGCCATTCGTGCCTTTTACATTTACCGACTACCTATTGATTCGCCTTGCCCAAACGTGAATTATTTTCTGGAATAAACACGTACGCCTAAACCGGGTTGTTTCGTTGAATTATTACAACAGATTAATGTTCCACAAGAGACGTATAGATGTAATTAACATAAGTATTAGGTGTGGTGAATATAACGTAGACTGTGGCGCAGAGAAATGGCAGTCCTTATGAATTAATTATTCGTTTTAAGGACTTATTAAAATATTATTATAGCACACAGGGGACAGTCTATAAAACGCAATCGTATTTATAATGTTGTTAGGATCGATTCATTCGACGATGCGATCACGCCCCAGTATGGAGGGCGAGGCGGGGTCTGCGCCTGGAGATGATTACTATTTAATCATGTTAGCTGGGAGGCTTTTGGGATGCGCCTGTTACACCGTAACGTCTTACTAGGGGGGGTGGTCACTGTAACACTGCACGAAACAGCGTGCCGATCGCAAGGTGCTCTCAGGCCGGCCCGGGGAGTGACAGGCACGTCTGCCACATGCTATCGCGCAGTATCGCATCGCATTGTGTCTCAGCGCATCGTAATCCCCTAACCTTTAGACATGTCCGACTCGGAGGATATGACAGAATTCGGATCGATAGTGGAGCGGATAACAAAGGGCGAGGTAAGCAGGGCGTAATTTCACGTCTGGCATGGTTCTGTGTAATAAGGAGGGCCGGATCGTCCCCGAATAATGTCCATTAGTGGCAAATTATGAGAACGATCCATTATTTGAAGAAACTTTGTGGGTATTAACCGTAATTGGGCGCAGATGTTATATTACAGAAACAAGAAAATGCTAAATAACAAATATGCCATATTCTTTTGACGTACGTGGGAATGATCAAAGCCACAATTATCGATTTCTGCACAATGGGTTTTATTTCTTGCTGTCTTGTAATTGTGTTACCTATCTATGTGCTTATCTGTCTATTGCTGTAGCAGAATACTTTGCTTAAATAGCAGGGAATGTGTAGCAGTCTGTGAAAGTTAGCCCCACCTTGCCGTATTGTCAGGTCATACCGTATCATGGCTTTTAAGATACCGGAGCCTTGTTACAGTTTTTACTGATGAAAGTGATGCGACGTGACTTAAGATCATTTTCAACATTCCTTATCATGTTTGCATTGCACATCATATTGCTGACGAGATACACAAAGAGAGATCTGGGTTGTACCTGTATATCCTCACACTATGTTACGGTGCTAGCTCTCTATAACACAAAGTGGAGCACATGTACCTTTAAGGAAACAGTAGTAAGTTATACGCATCGCTAAGTGCATCTGGACAATATGAAAGTGTTACTGACACGGAACATCTGTAAGGCATACAGCTGTCCGCGTTAAATTCGCCTGCATCATTATAGGCTATTTACTACGCTCCATTTTAAGTGCTGTCGGTACAAAATGACCAACCCACCACAATACGCTAATCCGAAAACGGTCAACCCATCTCCCATTTTACAATTTCTATATATAGAAATATGAAGGCGCGTTAATTATGAAATATTTCACCGTTCTGTGCGCAAAACCTCGGCACAACAAGTGTACTGAATTTTCTTAAATGTTCCTCTAAAACAGTTGCACGAAGCGCATATATAGTCTGCATCACAGCGCTGATAAATTGTTTTATTTAAGTGTAATTAAAATTAATTTAATCAGTGGGAGTCTGGACCCCGATAGGTAAGGGCGAGTATGAACTGAAACTCCTTAGTTCAGTGATACAGAAATCCACAAAGAGCCTGTGTCGACGCCCTTGGATAAACTGAGTTCGTTTGCTTCACTGCAGTGCTCTATGGTGTAATTTGATTAAAGCAATTTGCTGTAGCATGGAGAACATCCTGGAATCGATGAGCACATTGCACAGTCAAGGTAAGTCAGCGGGTCTTCGTTGTAATCAATAACGGGATCCTGAGGTTACATTGCAACTGCAGAGATGGAGCTGCGTCACTTTAAACGGCGCCCTTATATGTGTACGCAAACATGGACACCCATTTTTAATGAAACCTCATTTAGTGCCATCCATCCTCCATCCATCGACGCCCGTAGCCGGAAATTAATTTCGAGGGGGTCCGACAAATTTCGAGAGTGGATTAAACTCGTTGTTTTACTATGTGGTTACATGCCTAGATCCATCCATCCAATCATCCATCCATTTTCCATACCAGATTCTACTGTGCAGGAGGTCTGGAAATGGACTGGTGGATGGATGGTCTTATTTTGTACGCATGCTGCAGAGAATCTAATTCCTGAAGGAGAAGGATACTTTGCTGATGACTTCCTGGGCAGGACGCCATACACCTAGCGAAATGCACCCGAAAGGTCATGCCCGCCTTTGGATTATGGGAGGAAACTGGAGTACTCCCGCAGATGATGAAAAAATCTGTACAGGGGCATGTGTTATAAACAGCTAAAGTAGGCCTATATACGGTACATTAAGAACTATGTGGTGATCACAAACATGCTGTCCCAGCATTTGTTGCGTTTACCCTGACATTTTATGGCAATGCAATCCGGTGTAAAATGGAAATGGAGTCGCAAGAAAGCAAGACTGTCACCGTCAGTGATGTATTGTGCCTCCAGAGGTGTCACACTTTCTCCGCAGAAACATCCGGCTATTCACTGAAACAATTTTCATATATTAAGGTGCTGAAATATGCGACGCGATCTTTGTGCGTGTAACATTACAGGCTCACGTCCGGCTCCTGATCTGATCCTTATGCGCCAGTGTACTGACTGTTGGGCACATTCACTCACACACACACACACTCACACACACACACCCCACCCCAACCCAACCCAACCCACCCCCCGCACATCACACAGGCCTGCCAAGTCCAGCATCTCTTCCCGTCTGTGTCACCGTATCAGACTCCCTCAGGACCTGTAGTAGCTGTTTGAAGATTCCCTTGTATTTAATTACCCCTGGCCTCCTTTGCAGCTGAAATGGGGGCTCATTGTGTTATTTCTAGCACCGGTAGAAAGGTGATTTTCCACATGAAATTTCATCCGATCATATACAACCGCGGGCTGCAGCAGTAATTGTTTTATACACTAAAACATTCTTATAAACGCAAATGTTTTATTGGAAAAGCACATCACACATGCTGTCTATATCGGCTAAATGTAATCATTATTACTAGTAAAACGGGCTTATGTTAAAAAGATCACTCTGTAAAGCAGTATTAAGCAAGCAGCGTGTAAGTGTAGCCTACGTTTTGCATGTCCTATGATGATGATGATGATGATAATAAGTCACATGACATAGCTTTATGGTATAACAATGTCGGGGGTTTTCGCTTTGGGAATCAATCGGAAGCCCCTAACCCTCCCCCTTTAAGAGTCCTGCTGCGGCATTGTCCCTTTTGGGATCCCGAGTCTCCTCCCAGCCGCCGTCTTTCGCGTCATTTCGTTTTATTTCATTCATTGTTAAGTTGCGTCTGTGATTGCGGCCGAAGTCGGACTCACCCTTGCACCATGTCGGCAGTTTCGCGGCGTAGTTCCCTTTTGGTAAGTTTAAAGCTCCCTGAATGCGGTGTGTTTTACTTTTTTTATGATTAAATGTGAATAGTTCGTAGTTACCTCACCTTGAGTTATCCAAAGAAAGCTGACGATCTCCCAAGTTTAACATTCTCATTAGAGGGACAGTGCTCGGATGATTAATGTATTTTTTACATTTGTTATATTTCTAGCTGTGGGTGTTTAATCGGTTATTTTTCAGGCGTTTTTTCCGTTTCCAAAGCCAGTGGGAGTAACTTCTGCATTGCTGCTATTTACCTTTACTTCCCCTTTTGGGCTGCACCGTTTATAAAGATTGCATTTACATTTACTCTCTTTTAAAACCAATTAATTGGATTTTTTTTTACCAGTATTAGGCTGTTTGCCATCTCCCACTCCTAGAGATGCCGCGCCATAACCCCCCTCTGATTGAAGGTCTCTTTCCAGCTGCGCCCGGCGCTTGTTTGTGCGCCCGGCGCTTTAATACGTTTCTTTCTGACACTTCGACTTAATGCCACGAAATGTATTTGCTTTTTAGGTTCCGATCAGGAACATTGAGCGGGAGCTCATCTGCCCCATATGTAAGGAGCTGTTCACCCACCCGCTGATCCTGCCCTGCCAGCATAGCGTTTGTCACAAGTGCGTTAAAGAGCTGCTGCTCATCAACCATGAGGACTCCATCAGCACGGACGCCGGCTCCGAGTCCTCCAACCCCGGTAGCCCTCGCTCCCGAGTTCCCTCTCCCAGCATGGAGAGGCTGGACCGGCTCGTGCGATCAGGTGTGCGCTTGTATTTCCATATTGTATTTCGTGGTTTTAATTGTTTCATATATGCGGTGTGAGTCAGCACAGCACGCGGACTTCTGTTTTGGCGTTTAGGTGTTGAAGGGAAAAGTTAACAGGATATTGTGATCTTCAAGTAGGCTAGGTTATTATTGTTTGTTCAGCTTTTGTCCACAGGCTTTTACAAATAGACAGTTTCAGAGGCGTGAAGTGTGTGTTAAGATGACGAGTATAACGTTTGTAAGTGTTTTTATAGGTTGCTGAATGAAGCTATTTTTAAACCAGCACATTTCAGGGAAGGATATTTTTTGGCTCATATTTCTTTCATATTTAATGCCACGGATGGAGACAAGGCGGGCTTTCTGTGGCCACTCTAGACCCTGAGCAGGGCGTGTGTCGGTGGGGGTGTGGTCCCAGGCTCAATGTACTTATTCATCCTATTCCCCTGACACCAGCATGTCTGTCACTGGAGATGGATGTTTTGTTATGCAGTTTCGGGATATATTTGGTTAAGACGTATCCTGATGTTTAAACGCTGTTGGCTTTGTAATTATACGTGCCTGTCCACACCCTAATGTATTACAGTAAATATTATGCACTGGAGGCACAGTTGGGATGGGATTGTGCGGCAGGTGCTGGTGTGGATAGGCCGTGTTTCATCCTGTGGCCCCCAGTCTCACTGTGTCTGTGTCTTTGTGTTAATGAACCAACCTGACCGTTTGATTTCAGACCCGACTGATGGTAACTTCGGGACCAGGTCATCTATACGAGGTGTCATATCGGGCATTCCCGGCTGACTCACAGGTTTTCACTTACAGCTGAAGATCCACCTGTATGTCCTACGTGGAAAAACTCCTTTCTGTTAAACACGTTTTATTGTGTCATCCATAGTATACTGCCATTCTTCTGACTCCCTTTGAGTGACGATACCATTTTACTGACTCTTTAAAAGAGCTTTTTATTAAAGTCAAACCAGAGGTTTTTAGATTTATCAAAAGTATCCTTATGCCTCTTTTATGGTTGTTTTAACTGCTTCTAGTATTTTAGTTAGTTCTGAAGTCTGTTTTAATATCCATATACTCTTGCCATGAATATTACCCTGGTTGTTGGCATGGCGTTAAGTCAACGTAACACAACCTGATTTAACACAGGGCTACTGTGCTGAGGGCAGGCTGCAGCACAGGGGTCTCTCCTCACAGGAATCCCCCCCCCCCCGCCCCCAAATCCCAGGAGCGCCACTTTGCAGCTGCAGGCCCTGCCGGCTTGTCCAAAACCCTGCTCTCATCCCGCCTCTCTGTCCATTGCTTGCAGCCTCCCTGAGGAGGTCATTCGGGAAGCGAGGTAGACACAGTTCCATTATTTCCTTATGTAGCCGTAGTGAGTATAGTGTGTGTTGGCCTTCCACCCCCCCCCCTCCCCCCCGTCGGCACCTGTGTGACTCGTGTCGCCACACGACTCCCCGTGACGTGACACCAGTCTGCTGGGCGTCGGACCCAGTTTGACCGGTATGTCGGTGCTTCACATCCCGCTAACTGGAGTGAGAGTCAGCTGCTCATGTCCGAGCCGAGACTTCCTGCTCCTCTGGTCAAGCTTCTCTGCTGCAAGATTTCTCCCCCCCCTGACCTGGGTTGCACTCTTGGATGCATTTTCTTGCAGCAGCAGCAGCTGTGGCTCGCTCTCAGTCGTCAGTGTGCCCCTCTGTCCGCTGCTCAGTCGCCATTTAAAAATGGCCGCTCATCTCCTTGTCTAATCGACCAGTAGTAGCCACGATGCGGAAAATGGGTGCATCACGATTTTGCCCTCATCTGCTTTGCGGCGATGTTCTGAGCAGGCAGAAAATGAATGTGACGGGGGGGGGGGGCCCTGTGAAATTGAGGTCCTCCTTTCCAAAATAGCGTTGGATTCCTTTCCTGTGCTTCTCCTCCACGACTTTTCCAGTCACAGCCCCCTAGATTCATGTGACACTGTCCTTGTGCTGAGTCGCCCCCCCCCCATTGGTGATCTGAGTGCACTCGCCTCCCCTCAACCCGTTCGCTGGTGCACGCTTATTCAGATCTCATCCCTTAATCATCACTGTGACCACCCCACGCCCCCGCTGCACCATCAGTCACCACCACGGCAGGCGTCTACTCCATGACATCACCAGTCTGGGGGGACTCCGGTTACACACGTGTTTGTTTTGACGGCATGCGTGTTGGGTGTCCTGTCTCTCTGGTGTCTTGCCTGCCCCCTGCTGCTGTGCCCTGTGGTTTTCCATCGTGTTCCTGTGTGTCCTTTGGTCTCTGGGTCCGTCTCTCGTTCTGCCTGCAGTCACGTCTCCATTCTGTCAGCGAAGTTCAGCCTCGTGAATGTCTGCCGCTCTGCTAATCCAGTTCCCCGGTAATAAGTCTCATAGATACTGGTATTGTAACATTAAACTGGTGTTTCTGGGAGTAACTGGGTGTACTACTTTCATCTAAATCAGGTGCTTGGTATATGACGTTCTGTAGGTAATCTAGAGTTCTGCTCTAGGTGTTGGCAATCTGCTCCCCAGCTCTGTCTGCCTCAGACATCTGATTTGTTCATCAGTGGTGACGCTGTCTTTAGACATAAACCCCCCCCCCCCCATTCTGTGTCCTCATAGCACGTTCTCATAGTTCCTCACGCCTACGCTGTGTAAGGCTTTCGTTGAACACAATAAGCAGAAGCCAGCATTTTGTTCAGAGTTTTTCCACCTTCCAGTTAGTGGCTGAGTGGGTCAGGTCGCCATGCCCGTGACTGGAAGGTTGCCGGTACGAATCTCTGAGTCGGGAGTGATCTCAGAGTTGGACACTTAATCCCTAAATGCTCCAGGGACTGGCTGACCCTGTTTCTTAATTGCATGTCGCTTTGGGGGAAAAAGTGTCCGATTTAATAATAAAAACAACACTGGGGGGTGTAACTGTAAAGTCCCTTGGAGCCACACTGTGCTAACTGCTAGATACAGGTGTGTGTCCCACTCCCCACCCTGTCAGACGTGCCTTTCCATCTGCTTTAGTTCATGCACGGCCGTTGCTAAAGAGACGACTGGTTATCCCTGGGGTGCAGCCCTGCCCCGCATCCGTGGTTACAGCCCCCTGCGGGGCAGGTGCTCTTTGGGGATGAAGGTTGCGTTCAGGCTGTAAAATGTGGTGCCTGGTTTTAAAACGCATTTGTTAGCTGTGAGCCGCAGCGCACCCAGGACAAACTGCAGCCCACTTCTACAAGCTGGGCGCCCTGGCCTGTACCCGCGGCCCTTTATCAGGGCCCCTGTAATGTCAGGAGTCGGGGGAACGGCTTGTGTTTTTTTCTCTTTCTTTCTGTCTGCACGGCAATGTTTTTGAGTTCTTTCCTCTCTGTTGCTGCTCCAAATCTCCCCCCCCCACACTTCCCTGTACTCATCGCGGCCGTTCCGCCCGTCCCATCGTCCCCAGGTTCGACGGCCTCGCCCGGCTGGCGGCGCTCCTCGCTCTCGGTCACGCCCCGCATCACCACCTTCCCGTGCCCGGGCTGCCAGCACGACATCGATCTGGGCGAGCGCGGCATCAGCATGCTCTTCCGCAACTTCACGCTGGAGAGCATCGTGGAACGCTACCGACAGGCGGCCCGCGCCGCCGTGGCCATCATGTGCAGCGCATGCAAGCCGCCGGCGCAGGAGGCCACCAAGAGCTGCATGGACTGCAAGGCTAGCTACTGCAATGAGTGCTTCAAGATGAACCACCCCTGGGGCACACCCAAGGCCCAGCACGAGTACGTGGGCCCCACGCTCAACTTCCGCCCCAAGGTTATTCGCCGTCACTTGCATTCTTTACCTGCTTGACACGTGCACATCTATGTAGACGGACAGGTTACTGCAGGGCTGCCATGTTGATGGGTCCTGGAGAAGTTGGGGGTGCCCAGCTAGGAGGTGTTGTGCATCGTGGGGGGCCCTGATTTTGAAATAATTTTGTCCCAGGCCTAGGAATTATGCAGGGCAGGATTATGTCGGCATTGTTCGTATAAGCAGATATTTACAGACGGGGGTCAGGTTAAGTTCCTTGCTTAGGAATTTAAACCGGCAGGCTTAAATTTAAGCTTAGTGCCATAGTTTGTGTTGCTCAGGGAACGAATTTGGCGGAAAACCATCCAGGCTCTGAATGCTGCCTTCAGCATTGCAGTTCACACATGCTTTCACAAAGTGGGACACTTTGGTGATTTAGCCTAGGAGACTATGGTCATTTGACAGGAGGTAAGCATGCTTAGGGGCCGCCTTGGTCTGCTGGGAGTGTCAGGAGCTATTTTGGGGATACGCTGCTGCTGCTGGTTTGTGAAACCAGTGCTGGAAATGCTTTGGCCTTGCGTCATCTGTCCTTTTCTAGTCAGTTTTTTTTTTTTTTTCCCCTTCCATTTGTTCCATGGATAGTTCTGGAAGGCCAGTTTAGTTCCTTGGCCTGCATGTTCCTTCTCAAAAGGAGAGCTCTCCGTGGGCATCTTCCTGGAGTCGTTTCTCTTTAGCCTCTCCACGTCCTCATCCTGCAGGTGCTGATGTGCCCAGAGCACGAGATGGAGAAAGTCAACATGTACTGCGAGGTCTGTCGCCGTCCCGTGTGTCACCTGTGCAAGTTGGGCGGCTCCCATGCCAACCACAAGGTCACCTCCATGAGCAACGCCTACAAGATCCTCAAGGTGCGTGCTGCCTGGCCTCTCTACCCCCGAGTCCCCATTCCCAGCCGTCTCCATCAGCATATAGACCTTTCCCCGCATGCTAAGCATTTTTCCATTATGCCAGTAGATTCAACTTTGTAAGAGACGGTTACAATGACTATTATGTACCTTCACTGTCAAATGCAGCCCATGCTTTGGAGTACTGCTTTCCACTTGCTAGTAATGGATACTCCACAAGATGGGCATCACTCACCACACAAAGCACCTTGCCTTTCATCAACAACAGTTCAGCAAAGGAAAGCTTCATGATTCCAGTGTTATCAGGGGGTCGCAGGGTCTAATTCCCCTGTGTTTCAGCATGTAGCCCATCCATTTCAGTTTCAGCTGGACCCATCCATATTTGATGGGACCGTTTGTTTTTGCATGAAGCTGTGTCTCTTGATTAGGACAAAGGGCATATTGGGTTTTCTAAACCGGAATCGCTTGGTCAGATAACGTTTCTACCACAGAGGCCAGTACTGCAATGGACTTTGTTGTTCTGTCATCAGGAGAAGCTCTCAAAAAGTATCCATTACCTAATCAGCAAGGAGGACCAAGTGCGGGCTCAGATTTCAGCGCTGGACGTGCTGATCAATCAAACGGAGGTAAGTTTCCGCCTCTCTGGCAGGACGGCATCAGTTGACCGTGCCAGTGCTGTAAGCTTTGGTTACGGCTCCCTTTGCTAACCTGCTTCAGTCTGGTTTCATGCCCCTGTGGCATCTGCAGATAAGTAGTGATTCCTGGGATCGGGGCCCTGGCAAGTCAGATGAGGCCCACATTCCGCAGACAATGGGAGCCCCAGAGACTGCACCCCCCCCCCCAATAGCGGGCCTTAGCCCAGTTAATCAGCTGAATGTAAACCTTTGACAGCGTCCGCTCATTTGCATATGAATGCTGCTTTAACGACCTTGTCTGAGTTCTGGCTTCTGATTCCTGCTGTAGCAAGAAAAATTGCTTCCCTTAGCCCCGCCCCTCAACCAAATTACCATAGGTTTGGCTAAATATAGCGTGTAACCTTTGTCAGCATAGTGTTCCTACACTTCCTGGGAACTGATGAGGTTGTAAACGGCACATTTATTGACTGACCAACAACCCCCACGAGATGCATTTAGTAAGTGACTTGGTTTCATTTACCAATGATAGGGTCTAGATGTGCTGCATGCACGTGAATGACTAGTGTAATGATTTTAGAGATGTTGGGAATGATATGTGGTGTCATGTGCCTGTCTGTGGGAAGTAACAAACATTAAATCAATTATTATAATGGAGGGCATGGTGTTGTGCTACAGGCTAACCTGTGCGTTTCTGCCTAAGAAAAGCTTGAGTAGGCTGCGTGGTAATAATACGTTTTTCTTGCGTTGAAGTCCTGAGGAACTTGTAGGGCACAGTTTGCAGATTTCCTTGCTTCAGGACCGGGACTTGGGAACCCTTCCAAAGGGTGTCTTCTCAGGTCAGGCTGAATTTGGCCTCCTGATATGGTGAACCTCCCACTCCACATCATGGCAGGAGGGCAATAAAGTGCACAGGGTGGTATGCTGAACAGGCCAGCTGCACGAGGAGGTGAAGGAGGCGTCTGTCTCTTAAAATGTCGCCCCCTCTCAGATTGCTGTTTTTGTTTTATGACAGGTTAAATTTAAAACTTAAGCAATTTTATAGCCTTTACTAAACTGAGTAAAATGTGAAAAGCTCTTGAAGTCTTTGGTGACAGTGTATGCATGCTAGCTGTGCCTGCCAATGACTACAGATGAATCGGCATTGTGGGTAAAGGATGTTGCTCTGTGTGGAACCTGCTCCGTAGCCTGGAAAAAGACCTCTGGTAGCATCTTCTGCACTGACTTGGCAGTTTGAAGACTCCCTGAGCTCAGCTGAGCGAGGTGGGGGTGGGTCTGTGCCAGTGCCACCGTATCTGTTTTGATGCTCAGCTTCTGGGGGGTGCTGGTGCTGGGTTTATAAATAAACAAGCCCAGCGTTTACAGTTCCCGTATCGGTTCTGAGGCTTATCTGGGGGTTATGGGCTGGTACATGAGTATAGATAAATGGACCCAGTTTACTTATTGGAGTTCTGGGCTCCTAATGGTGAACCTGCCCTATGAAAAGAGCTCCAGAGGACAGTGCTTTACGATAAAGGGCAAGAGTGGCACAAGCTGGCTGATTTCGCTAGACTGTGCTGGACAGAGATGTTGATTACTAATTGAGAACCAAGACACTGTGACCCTTGGTTGGACAGGTGTGACTCTTGCTGCCCGTACACCACAGGGTGGTCCTCTGCAGAACCCCACTGTGAGGTTTAATGTGTGCATTTTTGTGTTTCACCTCCACTTGCGTAAATCCCAAAAAACAAGATGGCATCTGCTGAAAAGGCTTTGGAAGATGCCATTAGTCTTCCTAAGTGTTGGCTTTCAAGAAGCACTATAGAAGGACTGGTATCTATGGTTACACAGAACTATACCAGAATTTGCATCAGAGATGAGTCTGACCTGCATTGGAGTTCAGGTCAACATGTAACTGCTAAAGGCTGACGCGTATCCCATAAATACTGATTTGTTCTGAATAGTTTCCAGTTCTGAGCTTTAGGATTTTACTTGAGTTTGTTGGAGGCTCTCTTGGTGTGAATGTCTGAAGTTGTGTTGATGTTGTATTACAGCCTTTGGCCTGAAGGGCCTTAGTCAACAGCTTGCTGATCGAACGCTCGCTTTTCTGTTGTGACAGGACAATGGTGAGCTGGCAGAGAGGCAGGTCAACGAGCACTTTGAGCGTCTCTTCAGCATCCTGCAGGACAGGAGGGCGGAGATGTTGCAGTCGATCACGCAGTCCAAGACCCAGCGTGTGGAGAAGCTGAGGGCCCAGGTGGAGGAGTACCAGGGCATGCTGGAGAACAGCGGGCTGGTGGGTTACGCCCAGGAGGTGCTGAAAGAGACCGACCAGTCCTGCTTCGTCCAGACTGCCAAGCAGCTTCATACCCGGTAACTGTCTCCATGGGTTTGGCATGATGGTGTGATTGGATGCCATGGTTCTGCGCATATATATAGTTGAGTATTTTGGCCAGTTTATAGTCCTCTGGTTTGTTCCATTGCAGCATGCTCATCGTACGGGACAAGGAGAGTGACTTGTGAATGTGTATGGGGGTGGAGCTTAGGCTGTGAATGTGTATGGGGGTGGAGCTTAGGCTGTGAATGTGTATGGGGGTGGAGCTTAGGCTGTGAATGTGTATGGGGGTGGAGCTTAGGCTGTCTTATGAATGCTGTGTCTAATAGCCTCACATGGGAGGTCAGTGTAGAGATGCCTGGTTCTGCTTCAGCTGCCAGTTGGCGCAACTCAGACCATGATGCTCGAGCATTGCCGCAAAGTCTGATGGTCCCATTTTTAGCTCACTATTGAGGTCAGGGAGCTAATTTTAGGCCCCAGCTTTCTTGCTTGCCTAGCTCCCTCTGTCAGGTGTGAATCTGTCTGTAGTGTAGCTGGTGTTAGAGCAGCTTGTGTGAGCAAATCTCGATTACTACTGCAGTTTGAGCCAGCCTGTCTGTGCCAATCCCTCATATCATTCATCTTGGTAAACCCATCTTCACTATTTTTACTTTGGGATGCTCTTCCAAAGCATCTGACAGTGTTTATTCCCACCGTCAGCTCCTGTTGTTCCATGTTCATCTCCTTAAGATGTCAGCCAGCAGTTCAGTCCCTAATTTTTGTCTGATTTTTCTGTCCCAGCATTCAAAAGGCCACAGAGTCTGTGAAGACGTTCCACCCGTCAGCTGACCCCACCTTCACGGACTTTGTGCTGGATGTGTCCAAGGAGGAGTCCCTCCTGAAGGAGCTCTGCTTTGGCAACGCGGGTGAGCTTGGCACCGCTTGCAGTCGCCTCTCCTAGCTATGATCCTGACCCTGACCTCATCCCGTAAGCTTTTTGCTGGTCTGCTAATTCATCCATACACCATCTTGGACATGGGGGGTGTCCAATCTCACGGTCATCAGGAGTCCAATATTGAGATTCATGCCACTGGTTTAACATTGACTCAATAACCTGAGTATATAATTATCAGTTCAATCAAAGCGCTGTGTTCAGTGGTACAGAAGCCTGTCCTGTTTGAATCTGTAGTGTTCTGGTTGCTCTGGGCTACTTTTTGTGAGAGAATTATAAGTCCTCCATTATCAATGGGGTGAGTGATCTCTCCCAATCTCACTGTGTTCTGGGCCTGATCAGTGTGGCATAGCCTAGTAACCTAGAGCTGTGGTTACCAGTATAAAACTATTCATCTTCTAGTTTCAGCAGTAATCATCTCTTTATTACATGCTAGGTTATACGACAGTGCAGCAGTGCATTCTGGGAGTGCATTGTGTATTATGTGTCTTGATGCAGCAGTTCATTGTGTGTTCTCACAGAGCCCGTTTGATATGAGCAGCCTTTGCCCTCCCCCAGGCACAATGAATGTGCCCTTATTCTGGGGTTAGGAGACCACAGGTGAACCACAGAGCTTCCTGGATGGTTAAATATTACTCCGAACATCTGACTCTTGTACATAGGGAACTATCAGACCTGGCTTGCATATATCTGAGAGTGATCTGTGTGTTGTGCAGGTTATGCAAATGAATGCAAAATGGAGGGCGTGTGCAGACATTCAGAAAGTGCCAGGTCACACAAAGAGGGGCCTTACTTAATCGCACCCTTGAGCAATCCAGTCTATGCTAATCCCTCATATCAGTGTTTCCCAACTTGGTCCTCGGAGACCAGGTTTTGTTTTAATTCGGAAGCCTGAACGAACTTCCAGCTTGACGGGATGCTACCGTGACTCAACCCAGCCTCCCCTCTCCAAGGTCACATGCTCCTGTGGCAGTGCCCTCTAGTGGTTGCTTGATGTGCTTCTATGATCTGCTGTTTAACTAGACTGTGAGTTTCCCTGGAGAGTCAGGCTGCACCTGTCCGTTTGGAGCTGCTGGAAGGGGCTTCCTGTAGGATTCCTCAAAGCAGAATAGCGATTTGATGTGGATACACCTCCGGCTTTGTGTACATCAATAGTGGATCTGTCTGCTGCCACATTAATATCTGTTCCTGGTGTGACTAAACCCCTGATTATATTTAGGAAAACAAAATGTTTTGTTTGTGTTTTAATGGGCTGTGTGATGCAGCAGGAAGATGCTGATGTGTTTTGTGCCTCAGGATAAGGATGGGGATAGTATTTCAGTCCAAGGTCAGAAGTGCGTAAACACTTCAAATCCATTGTAAATTTTATACCTCTACTGCAAATCCAGAATTCTGCCCTTCTGACCAGCCTTGAAGGATGTTATTCTTCCTGATATCTATAGAACCCGGGTCACAGATCCTAGTTCTTGTCTGGTTAACGCAGGTGATGGATGTTCAGGAGAACTTCGCCAAGGATCTCCTTTGTTTACAATACAAAACGTTCTTTGACCTCTGCTCGGCGCAAACTACCACCGCAAGGATGGAGCGCTGGAACAAACGGCTGCTTTGAGTCCAAAGGGCAGAGAGGCTGGTGACAGCGGGGAGTGGCGTCCGGGTGACGGACGGGCGTCGGGCCTGGATGTGAAGCTTTATGTAGCTGGTGATGCTCCTCAGAGGAGCCCTGTTTGTGAACACACATTGGCAGTTTGGCAAATTTTTCCCTCCATTTAAATGAAGTTTTCTCTTCCCCCACCCAAATATCAAATTCTCTCCTTCATCCTTGTTTACAGGAATTAAAGTTGCACACTATATTTAATTTTAAACAAGCAATCAGTAATAGATAAAAAAAAAAAACTAGATATTTTTTTTGTGTTGAAATGGACCATAACTGCTTCGCATTTATGTGACTTTTATTTTATGTTGGCTGCTTGTGAAGCACACGGCACGTTTTCTGTGGCCCCCCACCCATCATGTGGATATAACTCCTCCTTTTTAAGGGCCTCTGGAGCATTGCTGAGGCGTATCTCTCCCCTCCAGTGCCCCAGCCCCCCATCATCGACAGGTCCCAGAGCTGTCTCTACAACAAGGGCCTGATCTGCTGGCAGCTTCCGGGCAACTCGTCCCCGACGGACCGGCAGGAGCTGGAGTACCGGAAGGTGGTCGCCGGCGAGCGCGGTGAAGAGGCAGCTCGCTGGCAGAGCAGCGAAGGCGTCTATGGCCCCAGTGCGGTGGTCTCCAACCTGGACAATGACAGCGCGTACTCCTTCCGGGTCCGTACCTACCGGAGCGGCATCTGCGGCCCCTTCAGCCCCGAGGTCACTTTCCACACCCCGCCAGCCCCCGGTATGTCCCTTGGCTGCCCGTCATGCTTTCCTGCTCTGTCACACCGTACCTTCTGCCTGTAGACCATTCGGGGAGGGCAGCTCGCGTAACTCATACTCAAGGGTCTCCTCTGAATCTGGATGATCTAGCGTCTGGCTGTACAGCCGCTCTTCAGTGCATTTCTCAACCCAGTTCAACCAATTAATGAATGCTTCAAACAAGAGCATCGAGTACCTGGTACTCGATTTGGGAGCTGGGGGGGAGCCAAAAAGTGGACTGTTTGGGGGGGGGGGGGACTGGCTGAGGATTAATTTAGGAGTTGGCTGTTCAGCCAATTCCGTATAGGACAGTGATCATACTTTATCAAGATTTAAATGAAGATTCTTCTCGTTGTAAACATTTCGTCAGGAAAAGGAGAATGAGAGCTTGTTAATTATGGCGTCTCTCCCAAATGTGTAATTTAGTGATTTCCCCTGAGCGCTGGGTATTGACTGCTACTAACATTCTTAATGGGAAAATCTGAAATGGAATTTTGTGTGTTTTGATTCAGATCAGATCCACTGAGGTTAGACCTAGTAGGCAGAATGAGATCCCAGTGCGAAAGCCTCCCGCTGTTCGGTGGTGATTTTTTTTAATATGATTTTTGCCTCCTGTTAGGCCCCCTGTCTGCCCCAGTGTGGTGGAAGGACAAAATGTGCTATGGCCAACATGCACTGGGAGTGGGGGTCTCCACATCAAGATGGTTTATATCCCCTGTTATGGTGTCATAAAGTAAAACGAGCCGTCTGAGGCTATTGAAGGCTTTAATCGTACTCTACACATGCTGTTTATTGTGGCACTATAGAAGAAAAGTGGCTTGTCAGGGATGTCTGCTTTTCTTCCTGGGAAATGGCAAGAAATGTGCCCCCCCCCCGCCCCCCTTTGTATTAGGCTTGCATACATGTGACTGGCAAGGCAGCAATTGAAGGTTCAGCTACTAATGGATTTAAAAATAAAAAGCCCACCTGATTTATAGCATGTGACATTTATACACATCGCCAGTGCTGTGGTAATTGAAGGGACAGCGAGTAGCGCAGGTTTAATCGAAAGCAGTAGACATTTAATGATGCATGTTTAAATGAAACGAGCTCTGAGCTTTTACTGTGTAGGCCTGCGACTGCAGGGTGGCGTGGTGAGTGTGGTGAATAGGTGTGAAAATGCTACCTGATTTAGACTGACTGCTCCCAAAAAGAAGGTCTTTTAATCTGCATGAGGGGTTTAAATCTTTGGCTCTTTTTTTTGTGCTCTATTTTTCACATGGATTTTGGCTGAACAGGCTCGGAAATTGATGAACCTGCACAATTTGGGACGTTAATAAATTTTTCACATTCTACTACTTCAGCATTATTTAGCTTTTAATGCTGAATCGCCGGTCATTATACGATGGGCAACAGTGCCCCCCTCTGGCCAGCTTGGTTCCTTCTAACATCGGGGTAAATCAGGCTTTAATGTTTGCTGCTTGGCTACATCTGAGTATAAGTAAGATTCAGACTGTCTTGGGGTGGGGGTGGGTGCTGGTAAGTTATTGAATCAGACAATACACTAAACCGCCCAGCCATGAACAGGCATTTTGAGTGATTTAATTATGGTTAGACCAAATTAAATTTGACTCATTTAATTGAGCTGGTTTCTGTTTTATAAATGATTAGAATCCATTAACCTCCAATATATTAATCGGAATCCCTAACTGCTGCCACCTGCTGTCCAAAGTAAAATCTGTGTGTGTGTGCGTGTGCGTGTGTGTGTGTACACGCAGTGTTCGGCTTCCTGTTCAACGAGAAATGTGGCTTCAGCCCGGACCGGCTGGTGCTCAGCAAGCCGCGGGACTCTGTGGAGAGCGTGGCGGGCCTGCCCTTCCTGCTGGCGGCCGAGCGCGTGCAGGCGGGCACCTACGTCAGCCTGGACCACATCATCGGCGACACCGGCATCTCCCAGGGCCGCCACTTCTGGGCGTTTCGGGTGGAGGCCAGCTCCTACATGGTGAAGGTGGGCGTGGTCTCCGACTCCAAGCTACAGGATTGGTTCCACAGCCCCCGCGACACCAGCAGCCCCAGGTACGGGAGGGGCGCCTCTGTCAAGTGGGTGGGGGGTGAATTGTAGTGTGAAGAAGACCCTTTAAAGGTGTTGCGTTTAAAAATAGCAGGCAGCCTGATTTGGGTCAGCTTTCGTTGATGTTGATATGGTCACCAAGGGCTTCCCTGCCTATCCTGCAGGTATGACCACGACAGCGGGCATGACAGCGGCAGTGAGGACGCCTCCTACGAGGTCTCCCAGCCCTTCATGCTGCTGGCGGTGGGCATGGGCCGTCTGTTCATCCCCAAGGCCGCTGGTGACCCCGGCAACCGCATGCTGGCCATGCCGCGGCGCGTGGGCGTGTGCCTGGACTACGAGCAGAGCCGCGTCTCCTTCTACGACGCCGACACCATGAGGTGCCTGTACGAGAGGCAGGTGGAGTGCTCGGGCATCATGTACCCCGCATTCGGCCTGATGGGTGGGGGCGCCGTGCACCTCGACAAGCTGGTCGCAGACCGCCGGCTGAAGTACCCGATGGCAGACCACTAGAGGGCGCCAGTGTGACCCCCCCCCCCTCACCTACTTGCCTGTCTTTGCCGTCGTCTCCTGAGGTGCTGTGGCGAGATGAGCGGGAAGGGGGCGGTCTGTGGCGGTTGGTTGTCTGTCTGCTCTGTATTTTAATCTCTGCGTTCAGCTGTATGGATGTGAAACATCTCTAATGTAGCGTCTGGTCGGGCCGGACGGTGTGATGTTTAACCTGGAGTACGATCACTGCTGTGCCTTCCAGCCCTGAGCAGATGGTGGATCCTTGGGGTCACCTTATGTTCAGGTTTCTTTCAGTGCACCTTGCAGTAAGAGGCCTTCACTGCGGCATCCCTGCCCACCACCCTGACGGGACAAACAGATCCTGGCCTGCACCCTCATAAGAATGACGTACATGACTTTAATCTCCTCCCCCCCATCCAAAAAAAAAAACAGCTGAACGGAAGCCCTGACTTTCAGTTGCTTCGCCCAGTTTGCAATGTTCATGTGAAATAAAACTGATTTTAAAAGCGTTTGTAAATCTTCCAGATGGTGGTAGTTCGAGTTGTTCACTAGGATCGTCACTTTGCACATTGTATTTGGTCACTGATCGGTGTGGTGTTTTGTGGTCACATGACACAAACGGATCTGAGGGGTGTCCAAATTCAGACTTCTGCACATAGCACATGACCACCCTGTCCTATCACTACCTAATTACCCAGAACACTAGAATAACCCCTATGTTTAGCTCCACAACTTAAAACACTTTGCAGCTTGAGTGCAAATACACAATGGAGGGTTTCTGAAGAGCAGCTGGAACGTACTTTGAGAGGTGCTGCGTTTAATTAGGGCTGCTTGGTGGATGATTCTGACCCGGCATGTAAGCCATATTACCAGTAACCAAACCTGTGAGGCTAGAGATGTCTTCCCATGATGCACTGGGTATCTGTGAGCAGAAGGTGCAGAAATGAGACTTGGCTGTAAATATTTTAAAATCTGTGTGTAATCCTAGTCTCCCTGGTGCATTGGCTGGAAGTACCAACTTCACTCCCAGAGTGTTTCCTTGGGACGTGGCAGGTCTGACTGTCCCTGCGGTGCTAGGCGCCTCTCCAGCATGTGCACCTTACTGAAGGAGTGTCGCCAGGGAGACCGGGGGTGTTCCAGAAGTTCTCTGGCCCAGGTGGCTTGGGGGTGTGGTGGTAAGGGTGCCACAGGCCTGCATGCAGAAGCTCAGGTTCCAGCCCTCGGGGGGGCTCTGCTGCCTACCTCCTAGCCCTGCTCTAACGCTGTAATACACCTCTGCACAGTCTGTCTTTGACCTTTGACAGGCGTTACCCGTTTCTGCGAAACCAAACTCACGTATTCTGGCACTGTTAATGTCTGACCTACATGAGGGCTCGTTGTGTTTTTCTGTTTTATAAAAGCCGTTTTGTGACTGTTTAAAATGTGAAAACTGCTCTGAATTGTCACATCCATGTTTTGATAGATCACAGGGGAAAAGGGTCTCTTCTGTTAGACATTCACAAAATCTCTCATCTCCTGCCTGGGATGATGAATCTTTTTTGTGTTTGTCCCCTTTAATGTGTTTAAATGATATGGTTGTGGTGGCTATTACTTTTTAATCTTTTTTTTTTTTCGTCTAAAGAATCAAGATAACTGAGTGATTTTTGCTTTCGTTTCTATTGGTGTGAAAACAAACCATTAAATTTGCTTTTAACCCTTTTCAGTCCAGTCAGGAATTCAGGCCAGTGACCGGTATCTTTTCTGGTTTTCAAAATGTGGGACTTTCATAGAATGTACCATCATGATCTGGGGAGCAAACAGAATGTACCACTGTCACTTCATAGTCACTTTCTGTAGTTCTATCAATGTGAAAGGTGGGGTTCTTTTATTAGCTGCTATATTTAGGCTGATCTACAAACTGGTTCTAGAGTGATTCTGACTGAATGTAGGAAGGATGTGTGTAATTTTGATGCTAGCACTTTATGAGCATGTGTTCCTTTGCCGTCATGCAGATCTGTGTGCAATACTGCTGAGGTCACAGGGTGACCAGTGTCATGGATGTAGCTGCTTTCTGTCACTAAAGCTTTCTATATTGCTTGTCCTGTAGTCTTTCTGGAAACTACCTTTTTTTAAGTTGCTGTTTTTTTGGGTTTTATATAAATAAACTACAAGTATTCCTGTGTGGCTTTTAATTGTTTGATACATTGCTTCCCCCCCCATTACCGCTTTGAAAGAGTAAGCACACTTTAATAGTCATCAAACACACAGTGGGGGTGTTCGACTTAAAATACCACAAGATAGATATTGGGCTGCAAGGCTGCACAGTGGGGTTAAGGTTGCCTCTTCTGTGCCATTCTGCTGCTGGATCCAGGTCACTCTTAGCTGACTGCGCCCCCTGCTGCCTTGGCTGTCACAGGCCGCTATTCCAACATCAGCAAATGGTCATCGGGAAGTTCTGCCTGTTTTGTTTTACAAGCTGACTGTGGTCATAACTGACCCCCGCCGTGACCCAGCCTGAAGTGAATCTCCAAATGACTTCTGTTAGACTCGAGGACACAACCAATATCTGTCTATACTTTTGAAACAGAATATTACTTCTAAATGTATTAGCCCTGTAGAAAAGGAACCCCTGTCGAGTTAATCCCACACATCTAAGTCCTGCCTGCATAAAAAAAGTGGATGTTTACTATGCAAAATATCAGATGGGGTTACCCCAGAATAATAATAATAATAATAATAATAATGAACACTTTATTAATCCCCGTGGGGAAATTGTTTTTACGCCTCCCTCAACTTGCTCTTTTGTAGAGCAAGTTGTCCGCGAAGGCCAGCCACCCGTAGCAGCGCCCAGGGAGCTGGGGGTTGAGGGTCTTGCTCAATAATAAGAATTTCACATCGTGATGGTTTTTGTCAATTGCTGAGAGAATAGGATGGTCACTGGTCTGAATGATGAGGCCTCCACGTGATGCCAATAGTGCTCCAAGACCATCACCAATCATGCATCACTCTTTCTTTAAATAATTAGTCAATAGACTGTCGATGTGGAAAACACTTGCTGCCACCTGGCGGTTAAATGGAAGAACGACAGCGCCCCTCTGCACTTTGACAAAATTGAAATGGCTATCAATTAACCGGGCTAGAATTGGATTTCATGATTAGTCGGATTATTTGTCGGATTTAAGGTAGTTCAGGCTAATTGTAAGTGAACGAAGATAAAGGCCATTTAAACTGAGGTACCTTAAATCCGACAAGTTGTCCGGCTAAGCAAAAAATCTTGCTTTTTCATATGGGTCCATGGTATTGCTACTTATGTGGCAACTAGAACGCATCCAACTTGGTTTTCCAGAGTTTTTAGCGGATGTGACGTAATTTCGGAATCTGAAAATCGGATCCCGAGGCAAATGGAATGCAGCGTTATAGCCGTAAAAGGTCGTTTTAGATATACTAGGGTTATATAAAGACGCATATATATTTGTTAGATACTTCCGATGTTAAAGGTGGATGAATGGGGCGTTAGGTAAGCAGATGGTCCGGAACCACGCCCTTGGGAAAAACAGAGCTTATTGGTTTTAGGATGAACATTTTTATTAAAAAATAAAAATAAAAGACGGTGTCTTTGTGAGTGGCGTTTGGCCCGTGAATTGGCCCATGACGCTGACCCTGGGTGTAACAATTATTTGAGCATAGTTTAACATGGGATGAACTAACTTTTCAACATGTATCTTGCAATTTTTGGAAATGACCTCTGTTGTAATACAACATTTACCGTCAAGCCCCCCTCCCCCGTGTACCCCCAGTGAGATTTGTTTTGGCATCAGCACTGGTGACACCAAAGATTCAATGTGTATGACCATTTATTGCATGTGATATATATATGCATGTGATTTAACTTAAAAGGTACTTACGATAATGTCAATTGCATTACACAGTGATTTATACATATGGCGTTACAACCATTCACAGTCACTGCAAAGAACCTATTGAAACAATGATCTATACGAGAAAGCCAGTTAAAGCCTAATAAGAATAAACCAGCCCTTAAAAGAATATCATAACTGAACTTTCAAAGGTAAATTCACCTTTCTCTTTCAGGTTCATGACCGCTGGTTCCTTACCTTAAACCCAAACAATAACAATGTAAGCAGCGCTGACATCGCGTTATGCACAGCTAGCGTTCCGAGCCCCCGGGGGGATGCTGGTCCTGAGCAGGCAGGTCCCAATACCAGACACAGTACCGGTGCTGCCGCAGTGTCATGGCATGATACCGGCCCAGGTGCAGATGCATTTGTCGTCCCCGATCCCAGTTTCGTTCCCGGCCCAAAATGAGATCTCATTCCCGGTCCTGATCCTGATCCCGATCCCGATCCCATTCCCGGTCTTGATCCGGATCCCGATCCCGGTGCTCGCGCCTTCGCAGGAAGGAAAGCGGTACGTCACGGCGGCCCTTCACACGGAAGGGGCGGAGACTCCACGTCACCGAGGCTCATTCATGCGGCCGCCGGACGCCTTCGGGGACTCTGCCATTTCTATCTCCTTACGGACCCGCGTCCGCTCGGCGCTGCGTTTACCTAGGCACACCCCCTTCCCACCGACGCAGGCGTTTTCGGACCCCTCTGAAGGTAAGACGGCACCGGCGCTGATGATTAGCCCGCTGCCCGTCAGCGATGGCCGGTCTCCTTTCTTCTGACGGCCACTAACCGGCCCAGGTAGCGCGGTTACACCTCCGGCTGCGATGCTGCATGCCTGTCATTGCGATGGTGGTCGCGTCGCTTCGCGCTACAGCCGATCGCGGGGAGGGGGGTTCATTTCGGGATCGCTGGGCAAACGTCTCTACATGTCGATCCGAAAACGTCCCTAGTCGCAATTCAGTAACGTGGGTGCAGCTTGTCGGTACGGACCGCGTCCTCCTGCGTGCCCCTCTGGGAATGCGGATAGGGGGCACGGCCGCGTACCCTCCCCAGACATCACGCACCTTTCCAGGTGAGCCCCATTCCTGGGTGCTTTTGTGTGTAGAGGTGGAGACACTGGGTAGCAATAGTTACACGGATCTCACGCGATTCGTGCTTTCTTTTTTATTTCACACCGCCGATCCAAGGTTGGGCATAAGTGGCACGTTTCTGCCATCCCACTCGCTATCGGCTTCACTTCCTGCTTACCTTCTCACGGTTTATTAGCTTCAGATAGCCCCGTGCCTGTTTCCAGAATAGTACAGGTTTAGTAGTAACAGGTAGTAGAAAGGAGTGCATGGTTATGTTTGTGATACACCTGCCTCTCACTCTCAACTTCACTTCTGAATTATCTTGAATTTGTTTGGTGTCTGACCTGTGTGGCATGTGGAATTCATAGCAAAGCTTGTGAGTGTCACTCCTGGATTGTACTGTTTAGGTAAGGGTGTGCACGCATTATTTTCTGCTGACAAAACTTGCTTTAAAAGACACACCTGTGTCTGGGAGAGACTCCTACATGAATCCAGCGACTCCACACCGAGTTCCATCCCAGCGGGACGGCGCGCTGACGTGGGTGTCACAGTGACCCAGGACCGGAGGCTTAGGATCTGGCTGGGATTAAGGTGCTTAATACAGTGTGGCGGTCAGCTGTTGTCAGATAGTGCCTGTTAACCAGGCATCGGTGCTGATTCTGGGAGCTGTCCGTGTTGTATTGCTGTGCTGTCAGTGCTTATGTTTATTAAGGGGGGGTTACAAGTCTGGCTGACCTCATACAACCATGGTGCTGATTCTGAGGAACAACGTCGCTCTGGCTGGAAGCATCCATATGCGTGGATTTTCCGCAGCTGTCATTCTTTTTATTTTTTCTTTAAGCCTGTGCTTTTGATGTCTGCCAAAACTCATCAGGAAATATGTTGTGATAACAGAGGGACGCGTCACTGTAGTGCGGTGTCACCTGCCTCAACATGAATTGTTTCAGTCTCGTAACATCACTGGGTATGCCATAACAACCCTGCCCTTAATGTGAAAGGTGAAGGAGAGGTCTGGTATCTTCAAAGGTGTTAGGAGTACATCTGGATGTCACTTCACTTCTCCGCCAAAGTGCGACTGCGGGAGAGTCTGCAGTTTAGGCTGGTCATTGTGAGGATAGATGGTTTTAACGTTGAGTCAGTGTATTAATATATAAGGAGTGGCTCTGCTGTGGGGTGTATTTGTTTTGGCTGAATTATTACCATCGTCCAATCTGGCCATACGGGAATCCTTGGTGTGGGTAGCATTCATTTTAATTTAGCAGGTGTGACAATAAGTCGATTTGTATTTAAACATGTAACAACATCACAGAGAATAGCTTCGTCTGAGTTGTTACACAAATAACCAATGGTGAGAGCGACTGTTTGCCAAACGTCGATATGTACAACGTTTTAATTGTTTTGATTGTTTTAACTTGATCCGTGATTGATTAGGGAATTAAAGTATGATAACAAGGAAAGATAATCTCTTGGTTTTGGAAAGATTATCTCTAGGTTTTAGAAGCCTGTGGTGTTTCATTCAGGATTGAGCTGACAGGATTGTTGTTGATAAATCCAATTAATGTAAGATGGACACTCATTCCTTATATGCAGCTGTGCCTTACGGCTTCACATTTTGTGATGTCATTTCGATACACTTACTGCTGGCTTGTGATGTCATTACGATGCACTTACTGCTGTCTTGTGATGTCACTATGATGCACGTACAGTACTGCTGGCTTTTGATGTCACTATGACGGCCATATTGCAGCAAGCTGCTTGTTAATGAGGATGTGTAAGGTTTTAAATATCTGCGAAACTGACATGAAGACTAGTGGCCGCCCACCTTCAGTCTTATGATCTCAAATTTAGCCCTTTCTGTGTTTGTGGAGTTCGAGGTTCTCCTTGTGTTTCTGTGGGTTTCCGCTGGGTTTTTTGATTTCCTTCCGCAGTTAAAAGGCATCTCGGTAGGTGAGTAGGTGTCTCTAAATTGCCCCTGTCTGTGAGTGCCTGTGTCTCCTGTGATGGACTGGTATCCCATCCATGGTGTCCACTGGCTTTTATCCTGTGCTTCCTGGGATAAGCTTCAGGCTCACAGTGAGCTTGTATTGCATAAGCAGGAGAAGTTACCAAAAAATAAGATATCCTAAATTGGAGAAATGTAAGCGTTAATCATTTCACTGAGATTCTGCTTCTTATTCCTTATACATAACTTGCCTAGCTAGGACACGGTGTTGCTGGTTATAGAGATGGCTGTTGTGGTCAGCTGTACTCTGATTGGGCAGTCCTATCTACCCTTTCTGAACATCTCTGAGATGTCCAGCAGTGTCAGTGAGAGATCATCAGAAGCTATGAAAGACAAGCGTCTCTCCTGCTGAAATCATAGAGAAACGTGCATAATCATCACAGTACTCAGCACAGCATCCAGAATACTCTGATGCTAAAAGTGTTTTTCCTGGCGATTATGTCGTGTCTTACGCTTAACCTGCAAATCAGGCCCAGAACCTGATCCTGTGGCTTATGGAGATCCTGAGCTGTTTGGCAGTTTCGCTCTTTGCATGTGGATGTTCTGGCTGGAAGTTGAGCGGCTCCGTGCGTGTAATTCATGAGGTTGTCCCGCTTGCCCCCTCCCCGCCCCCAGCCCTCTCTACTTACATTACATTGCTCCTGAGTGGGTCGCTTTAGGCTCCCAGAATGGGCTCACACGCATACACTGAAACATCTTGTTAGCTTTTGTTCCTGATTATGGGCGAGCGTCCAGCTGGGCCCCAGGAGGTCATGTCACCACGCGTGGCTGTCCAAAGGGCCCGGGCACCAGCGAGGCATTTCCACTCTTTTGATTGCTGGTGGCCATAGAAGTACTCAGAGGCACAGACTGGTCATTATGGTCCTGGTAGCAATGTGCGGACACAGCGGGCATCTGATTGGTTTCCCCAGTTGCCTGTTTGCTCGTTCCTCACTAACCCGGCCCTGTCATCTGAAACAGTTTAGAGGCTTTTCCCATGAATACAACTGGGCATTCTTAGAGAGCGGCCTGGGTTAAGTGCCTCACTTAAAGGCACAAAGGTAGCCGCTCCTCTCGGGACTCGGAAAGCAGCAAATCTTCAGGTTATGAGCCTGTGTCTTGGAGATCTGCCTGAAAGTAAGCAGAGCGGGCCGCCAAGGTGACGGGGTGCCGCCATTGTCACGGAGTCCTTAACGTGACGCTCCATCGCCATCTGAAAGCGCTAATGGACCATTGCATGGATGAAATAGGGAGTTTCCTCACCTTTTGTCCTGTTCACATTGGTTTGAAATCTCAAGTTGTTTCGCTCTGTATTCAGCACATTTTAATACCGCCTATCATTTATAAGGTTTGACTGCTACACACGGCACCTTACAGATTGATGACTTACAACCAAAGGAGGATGTCATGAATAAGACACTTGTGCGTCTTATCAGGGTCTCGGTTTGAATAAGATTTCAGAATCCCATCCGTGTAATGAATTAGCCATTGTTAATGAATCCGGTTTGTAAGGAGGATTGTAGGCGCTGGCTTTGGGATGGTGTGGTGTGGGGATGCGAGACGTTAGACAGGAGAAGAGTAGCAGTTTAGCAATGATAGTTTAACTGTTGCTTTGGCTCCTCATGGATCTCTGCATGGTTTATCTTCTGCATTGGATCGTCTTTGAGCTCTGTGTTGTGTAACCTCTCTCTTAGCTGGTCAGTGTTCTGCCTGGGTAACCAGTGCCTTAGCTGGCCACTGTAGCCCTAAGGACCATTAAGTAGCTGTACACAAAGACTTTCCCCTTTAAATTTTTAATGGTGCTTTACTAGTAACAGCTGTCTCGTCATTTCCATGATGTCACTCCCATGATGTCACTCCCACAGTATCAGAGCAGGTAACATTTACACCTTTTCCAATAAGATGCACACTATGTTTCTATTCATTTTCTGTGAGTTTGAGCTTTGTGTTGCTCTCTCTGACCGCTCTCAAGGCAGGGTAACCCTGCTGAAGCTCCGTGTAAGGTGTTCGAAGTTGTGTTCGAAGTACCTTCTCCGAAGTTTTTTTTATGTTTGCTGCTGAGGAGGTGGCACGAGGAGGGATGCACATTAGAGGAATGTGACAGTTCACCTCTGGGTTTAGGCCTGTGGGTGGGGGTAGGATGTGAAACTCCTTCACTGGTTTGGAAGTTTTGCTTCTTTTCCACAGTTGCAGATATGCCTTCAGGAGATGTGTAACCTGCACCCATACAACTCTAAGTGGCAAGGAGTGACTCTGCAGAGTAGGACTGTGCATCTAAGGTCAGAAAATGATCGGAAGGTTGGAATTGCTCCAGGCTGGACACTAGCCAACCCTCTGCTGTGACTCCAATATTTGCTGTCACCTGGGTGTGTTATGGAGAGCAAGATGTGATAGGTGAAAACACAAGTTCCATATGGGGATGAATGAAATACAGTATTACTCTTCTGTTCTGTTCTAAACCTGTAGATGGGTCACAAACCACTCAGTGGTGGGACAGTCTGGGATGTAAAAGGTCCAACTGGTTTAATCCAGACAGCGAATAGTCTATTCCGTCATGTCTGAGCAGTCCGGTAGTGCTGCTGTTTGCAGCTAATGGACTTCGGCCTGGTTCTCAGTGTTCAGTCATTTATCACCTTCCTCTGAAGGATCCGCCTTGCCTACCTTCTGTCGAACCACATGAGGGAAGGTGACGTCCGCATAACCCTACAAATGCCACGTGTATTTTGTGACGTAGAATTGTGTTGTTTGGACGCCTGACATTTGATTAATTCAATCATATTAAATTCACTGCACCGCCGCTATAAAGGTTAGCAAATTGCTAATTAGCCATTATCTGATCATGCCAAGAGGTCTGGGGGTTTCTGTCTTTCCTGATTTTGCTTTTCTTTCTCGTGCCCCAGACCAGCTTCTCAGGTTCTTCAATACCCGGATGCTCCGATGGGCGAGACGGGATCACGCCGTTCCACCCTCGTCTCCCGGCTGCCGATATTCCGGCGGAGCTCCCATAAGCGGCAGGACTCGCTCCCGTCGTCGCCGTCATCCGGCGGTGTAGCCAATGGCGTCCACACCTCGTCCCCGTCCAGCACGAACTCCAGCTCCAGCAGCACAGGGAAACGCCGCAGCCTGTTCCGCACGCCGTCCATCAGCTTCCACAGCAGGCGGGGCCAAGAGGCGCGTGCCGACCCCGCCCCCGCAGCCCAGGAGCATGGTGGCCGTGGCCCCGAGCCTGGTCTGCATAAATCGGAGGACGGCTCCCGCTTTAAAACTCGCCACTCCTTTGGCTTTGGTAGCCACCGACACAAGAAGATCACTCGCTCCCAGACGGAGGACTTCGAGAAGGGACCCACCAATCGAAGCCTCTTCATCAACTGCATCAGCTCAGGGACCAATGAAGGAGACGACTCTGGCTTCCTGGATGACTACAGCAGCAAGCGGTCCTTTCGGCACAAGAAGCAGCTCCTTCCCAAGTCTTTTTCCTCCCACCATCGCTTCTCCAAGCATTCAGTAGGGACTCCCGATCAGTGCCAGTCCCTGGAGGTGAACGCCGAGCCTCCAAAGCCCCCCACCCCTGGTTCCTGCCCCAGCGAGTTTGGGGACGGGTCCTTGCAGTCCCCCATGCTCTCGGAGGACCGCACCACGGCCATCACCCCCTCCGAGTTTGTCCCGGTCACGGAGGACTCCGTCTCAGAGGTGGACGCTATGCCCGTCTTGAGCCCCGCTGCCGTGCTGGAACCCGTCGGCCACGTGGCCCCTACCTCCTCGGTGGTCCCCGCGGCCACCCCACCTATCTTGGAGAAGCCTGCACTGCCGGATGCTAGCAGGGTGAGCCTGGAATGTGAGACTGCTGCACAGCAGGCACCTCCCACCGCCCCTGGCGAGGGGGCGGAGCCTGACGCTACCTCTAGAGATGGACCGGGAGGAGATCAGCTGATTGTGGAGCACAGAGAGCCGGACACCGCGGGCGCAGAAGACAGGCCTGGCGAGGAGATGGGGAGGAGACCGAAGAACGTGGTGCCCATGCAGGAAGCACGGAAGGGGTTGGAGTCGAGACCGAGTCACCTAAGGAAGCCTCACACAGGTAATGTCTTCAGGTCTCCTGAGGGGAGCCCATCTCAGATGAACAGATGGGCTGTAGGAACACCTGCTTATGCTAGCCTGGTGACTTGTAGACCGTCTGAAGGTGAGACCTGGCTCACAGTGAAGGTGAGAGTACCTGTGCTAGACCTCAGCTGGGAGACAGTGAGCACAACGGCGTGGTCATGGAAAGCAGGACCGATTGTAGCCTCTGTTGTTACTGCGATTCAAACAACTCTCTTGATATAAAGCTGAAACCTGCTTTTTAACTTCTGAATTGCTGACAACAGTATATGATGTTGTTTACTAAGTCTAGCAAATGCAAAGTAATTAATATCAAAAGATGAATGGAGGCAAGATTCATGCCAGGGCTGGGAAATGCATTGTTATCGCAGGATGACTTCCTGAAGTTACCAGGAACACCTGTGGGTGTCAGGGGTCACAGACGAGTGTGGTGCTCGAGGAAAACATCGGTACTGATGCAAGTGTGCCAGAAACAAAGGCCTCACATGAATCAATGATCTCTAATGTATTTCTGTGGGATATTTCTGCCTAATGAGGGAGATGTTGCTGCTGCTCTGGGTTATCTGCATGTGAACTGCAGCTGGATATCAGGAACCAAGGCAAACGCTTTGGCTTTGATGCATCATGCTTAATGGGAGAATTCATAATATTACATTGTCCAGAGATATCTTTTCTCGCCTCTAGGACCAGCGCGAGTCATTTCAGGACGCGTGTTGTTATGAATGTAGATGTCGGTTTCCATGGAGACGCTCTGTGCATGTGATAACTTGCCTCGTTTTGGCTCGCTGCTGAATTTGTGCTGTAATTCGAAATTAAATGAAAGCACATCAAAACCTGTGATTGTGCCCGAAAACCGCTGGGGAAAATGTCCAAGTGAGTGTATGAATGTGGGCAGTAGAGCCCAGTGCGCTGGAGATGATTGATTTCATTCGACATGAGAGGATATTGTCTGTTCAAAGCAGGTTTTTAGTGTGCGTGTCATGTGTTTGGGCTGAACCCGGGGCTGTAGTGTGATGGTCCCGCTTATCTATCTCGACTCCTGTGCCGGTTCTGCTTCTCCTGCTATAACTGTTCATTAAGGTCCATGCCTTGCATGTGAATGCATGCATCTTGCCACCACATGGGTTTCCTGCATCAGTACATCTCAAGTTCCGCATTTGAGAGAAACCAGTCCCCAGTCAGCTTCTGCCATGAAGTTTCCCTTCCTTCAGCATGTCTCCTGCTCTGTGTCCAGCATTGTTCACAGCTCACTTCTGTCTCTGCTGGTGAGTTGGCTCTTTCCCATAATGCATTAGTGCTCTCTTGGCTGCTCTTCCTCCTCAGGGTGACCAGAGGCTCTCCATCTCAGGATGCAGCTCTTCCTGCCATTATAGTGTGATCTGACCTTTCCCACAGTGTTTACAGGCCATTAAACTGACATCCCCACTGTCACACAGTGTCTCTTAATCAAGATCCTTTTTTTAAGAAATGATCACAGTTTTTTGTTTGTGTGTATAATCAAAAAATGGTCATAATTGCTGGAAATGCAAGTTTAAGGTTCAAACCATATATAACTTAGAGGAAGGACACGGAAGCATAGTTGTGGGAGAAAACTGATGGAGATAGATAATAAGCCACCAATCTGAACATTTTTGTGATGGTGAATTTTCCAGTCGATTATTCTGGCCAGGGTTGGGGGGGGCGTCATGGAGCCTATCCCAAGTAGCATAGGGCACAAGGCTGGGGGTACACTGTGGACAGGATGCCAGTCCTTCACAGGGTGCGCACATAAACACTCACACACACAATGAAGGACATTGTCCAAGGACATCGTCCACAATGAAGGACATTGTCCAAGACTTCGTCCACATTGAAGGACATTGTCCAAGACTTCGTCCACAATGAAGGACATTGTCCAAGACTTCGTCCACATTGAAGGACATTGTCCAAGGACTTCGTCCACAATGATGGACATTGTCCAAGGACTTCGTCCACAATGATGGACATTGTCCAAGGACTTCGTCCACAATGATGGACATTGTCCAAGCCCTTCAGATTAATATCATTCTCAGTAGAAAAACTGCAACATTCCGGACTTCCCTACACAATGTTATGTATAGCCCCATGTAGATAGCATGAATCCCCATGAATTCATGTATATTTCACATATTGTGCTGCTGAATTGAATATGAAACCAAGATAAGGGCCTTCGAGTGGAGAGGAAGTTGAACTGAAGCTGAATTGTGGAAGTGACTCCACCCCCCCCCCCCCCCACCTTTGCTTGACCCACTGATTTACTCTGTAGATAAAGTCCTTTGAACTTGTGGCCGTTCCAGCTATGCCTTCTGAAGCATACCTGTGTGATGCCAAGGATGGTGTCTTCTCACTAGAACACTTCTAATCACACCTACTGTTCACCACTAAAGTCCAAAGTGCATGGGGGAGGACGTCCGGCCGACCAGCCAAAGGCATGCTGCATAACCTCAGCTGTCCCACTATTGCCACCGCCTGGCACTTCCTGGAACTGCAGCTTTGGTCATTCCTGGAATGGAGCTGGATGGAAAGGACCAGTAGTGTACGAGGGACTGGACCTGATCAGTTTTGGGGAGCATTTGGGGGATGAAGGAGGGAGTGAATCTGGCCTCACTCTGTCTGTGACACTGCTGTTCACTGACCAAAGCCGTGTGTGACTCTGTGGGGTAGATATCTGTGCCAATGTCCAGAAGGTTGTGGGTTTAAATCCTGAAGCTGGCAGAGTGGATGTACACCCTTTGGTCACTTTAAGCAATGTGCAGAAGCCCAGCTGCTCCAGGGGTGTTGGGTGTGGTCAGAGCCCAAAATCATTCTCTCACCTGTGCATATGTGTGTGCGTCTCTCTTGGACCGCAAGATGGGATATGTGAAAATGACATTATTTCTCCATGGCTAATCAATAAAGTGCCTTTATTCTATTCCAGCACGTAGTTCTGAAATTCAGCACGTTTAGAGTCGTCATTTATAGATAATGAATTCAGAGATAAAGTTGGTGTTTCAGTCCCACATGGTAACAAAATGACCGTGAAATCAAAGCGCTGAACATGGAAAAGGTGAATTACCTCTGAATGGATAATTGTGCATGTTCTGTAATGGGGGTTGGGTGGGGCTGTCATCGTGCTCAGACTTAACCAGTCAAGAACTAATGTAATTGATCAATCTGTGGAAGTAATTCCAATGGGATCTAAATGGTCCTGTAGGATTTCTCAGTGTCGCTTCATTGCATAATGCATAGGAGTGTGTAGGCAGAACCAGAGGTTTAATAGGCCTTGTACTGTGGGGTACCATGAGAGCTATGAGTAGAGGGGAAAATGTGCTATATAAGCTATATATGACAACCAAAATATTTAAAATATACTTCTAAATAATTTAGGAATGCTTTTGTAAAAATCAACTGAATTGAATTGGATACTCTTGTTCGTTTTTAAATGATACCGATGACGAGGATGATGATGGTGTCTCCCTCTTTGTCTCCCCCTAGTGTCGGTGGGCAGCAGTGCCAGCCCCCACCATGAGGTGAAACGCTTGGAGCGGCGGCTGCGCTCTGCGTCGGAGGGGGCGGGAGGAACGGGGGGGCCGCGGCTGCACCTGAGCCTGAGGGAGCCTCACTTCGCCGAGGGCCAGGCGCTGCTCCAGCACAGGACCTCCTCCTCTTCTTCCAAACTGGGCAGTCTGGTAGGTTTCCTGGGATTGCACTGACTGAGGCCTAAAACAATGCAACTTGGCTCCTTCTCCACTATGCCCCCTGCTGTCCCTTGCTAGACTCTGCAGCTGAGTCTGTGACGCAGGGGCCTGCTGTTCAGCTGTCTCACGCAGACAGGAATAGTACTGAGTGCACAGCGTTGTGTGACAAAAATGGTTACTGTTGAAAGAAAATGGGGGGAAAATGATCTGGTTCATTACTTAACGGCAGTTAGGAACCGGGCTTGAGATGGGTAAATGCTGACAGAACACGCCCTTTTTTCAGGCTTCGGGGAATATGTAGGGGAACCACGGAACACTGGTCACACAGGAAATCACGCAGCCTAAATTCTTCAGATTCTGTCAGGCAAATGAAGTGTAAAAATGAAGAGTGAATGAAAGCAGTACGTCTGTGCAGTTTCACCTAGGTGAAGCACTTTACAGACTCCCTTCATCTCCTCCGTTCTGCATGAGATGAGATTTAAGATGATATCCTTAACAAAAAGCTCATAAAAACTGTAATTAGATAATAAAAATATAGGATATCTGTAGTTATAATTAATGGATAATGGTCAATTAACTACTATATGTTATACTGCAAAAAATGTGCTGTAAAACACACACAAGATCAAAGAATTGTGGCCCCTCTTATTTTTTAATTAAGGCACTTTCGTTATAAATACAAAGTAACCTATAACCAGGAAGCTGTCTCCCTACTTTAAATGACTCTGGCAGACTGCATTGACAATTTTTTTCTTACAGGCTATTAATCCGTGTCTAGACTGTATCTCACAAAACAGAATTTCCTGAATGCAAGCAGGATGGTGCTGCTTAAATTGCTGTGAGGCTCCCACTGTTTCCCTGTACTGACCCGAGGCCTCCTCTTTGTGGTCCCACTGTTTCCCTGTACTGACCCGAGGCCTCCTCTTTGTGGTCCCACTGTTTCCCTGTACTGACCCGAGGCCTCCT